ATTCCAGCAAAACAGCAGAACCTAACTATTATTTCTTATTTCATAAAGTCTGTTTCTCTAGATCTGTAACGTGTTACCCTGCAGCTCGCGCTCGGCATTAAGGGGCTAAAACAAGGACACTGTATACTGTGTCTGTGTGGGGTATTCATGTTAAACTGCGGCATAGTATCTCGGTGGGCTAGCACTATAAAATCGACATTAGTCCGAACTAGTACAAGCAATCACACACACACGCGAGCGCGCGTACGTGCATGCACGTCGCAATATAACTGCAATAATCTTGGACGCGACGTTGAACCCCATTTCTCTTCACATCACATCTTAGAACAAGACAAGTATAAGATTTCGTTAAATAGACTTGTGTTGATTAAATAGTCGAGAGAGTCGGTAAACTACATCCCATTGTATTGTCTTACTTATGATTACATCATGTGAAGGCACATTAATGCTTGACGCACTTACACAAAGCGATCTTAGCGATGCGACTATTGTAAGTTTTAAAGTATGGGAGGTACAATAGGCCAGTGAATGCATTAAATACGCTTTGTGCATGTCGGCACTGGTTGTTTTAACGCTTGATACATGTCTCGAGTCTAGTGCAAGACGATAAACTGTTACCATCAACCACCACTTCAAACATCGACCTTGAATTATGTTTAATCATCGCTGAGAGCCAAAATGCATTTCTCTCACCCCTTGAGTTGACCTGCTAGTCTCCACGTACATCTACTCACCTACACAATACACCTGGATTTTTTTAGAGGTTTTAGGGAGGGACGTTTTAAGAAACAACAAATACTTACAGGTAGACAATGAATATCCGCGCGTGGGGGAGATCAACACAAAACGACAAAAATCTATTTGGAGACACTTTTCAGAATTAATGCGGTAGTTTGTTTTTTTCTGGTTAATTGAACTGTAAGAAGTGTTGGGTTAATAAGGCCTGTCGTAAGAAAAGTGTTAATCTTCTTTAAATACTGAGTGTTATTCATCATCAACTAACCTTGGTGTCCTAATGGTGCTTGAAAGGATTTTGCTGAGCAGCAGAAGAAAAGAACGTTTGTTTTTCGGTGTGCTTGGTCAATATGTAAACTTTAGTTTCGTTCTAATGGTTTCTAAAAGAAATGGACTTGAGTATTCTAGACGAGCGTATGGTGCACTTGCTAGTGCGCAAATCACGAAATATCTTACAAATTAGATGTATGTACGTTTCCTCAATAAAACGCGATACGCCACGAAGTGAAGTATATTATATAATTGATATCAAACAAATTACTCCTGAGGTTTCCTTAATAAAACGTCATAAACCACAAAGTGTAGTATATTTGATAAAATGTATATTAATACAAATCATTCATGGGGTTTCCGTAATAAAAACACCTTAAGCCACGATGTAAAGTATACGTTTAATGTTAAAACATATTATTCAATAATTGGAATGTTTAATATACATGGTCTTTGCGCATTCTGAAAACGACTTAATTGAGTGTATAGCTTTGTAGCCTCAATGTCACAACATCAGGGACTGAAAGAAATTGTTATGTGAAAACGAAACTTATACTTTTCTACATCTTGTGATGCTTTTTGGTGTATGTTTTCAGTTGGCCGAATGTTGCTTTAAGTTGAATCATCAACGCTAATTAATTAGGTAATAGTCGCAAGTTCATTGGTACATTCTCATGCACACGTTCTTCAATAGCTACGTAAATGGTCGCTAAAAATCGACATAATATCAATACAGATTCAACATAAAAATGCACCCGACAAAACCCTCTCAACTTTGTCAGCATAAACTATAGCATCACAACCCACCAACCCTCTTTATGTCAATAGAGGTTATCACGCGAGTGTGTCTGGGGATGGTAAATATCCTACATTAGGAATAAACATTGTATTTAGCGAGCCTTGGCGAGCTAAATACATAGTGTTTATTCCTAATACAGGATATTTACCATCCCCAAACACACAAGCGTGATAACCTCTTCATCATATAATGTCATTCTTTAATTCTGTGCTTCAAAATCGCTTTCCCTGTCTCACAAACATTACCGAAACATTGCGAGTTTTCCTCGAATGCGCGCATTAATATTTATTACGTCACAGGGTTAGTGTTGTGTCAGTCGGAAAGTGACAGTAGCCAATATAGTTCCAACTGAAATCTGTTTCTTATACAGTGGCGAAGCAACATATACGCAAAACAACAATTGTTTTTAATTGCCTTTCGCGGCAATCCATCAGTCTGTCCGCTAGAGTAACTGCCCTTTGTCAAAGGGAAGCTACTCTACCCCTAGTCTATGAGACGCCACGGCCGCGGTCAGACGTTGTTGACAGTCGGTCTGTCCTGTCATCACGTTAAGAAGTGTAGTCAGATGTACACACAACGACAAAACCAAACAAGGTAACAATACAAACATATTTCGGACAAATCCAACTATTTTAATTTGTTGAGAAGGTTTCAAGCCGCAGATGTCAACAAGCACAGATATGGCAACTGATCCCGCTTGGCTAGGCCTCGTGCCCTCGCAAAATTGTTTCGAAATTTATATCTCCAAAGTTGCAAAAACTTATAAAATGCCTTAGCTAAGTCATAGTTACACACTGATTTTCAGTATATTAGACTGTTCTTTTGATAATGATAGCAATTATCCCTGTAGTTTATCCAGATTCCCGATGGTTAATTCTGACTCGATCGCCGAATGACGAGGGCGACGCCATGTTTGTTTATAAACAGTGAAAGTAGTCCCTACTTGACCTTCGATATTTGCATCTCTATCCGCATATGACCCCAACGGATATCGTTTTTATCCGTTGGCTTTATCCTGCCGAGAAACCTACCCATTATATGATAAAGTCGAATACGTTACGAGTTTCCCTTCTCATATGACGTCATTGTCAATGGGTACCTGTCTTAGCCCTGCGGTTAAAGTGTTCGCTGGTCACAAAAAGCAGCCGGGTCGTGTCCCGCACAGGAATAAAGTGTGATGCCAGTTTCTGTAATATTGCTAAAAGCGGCAAAAAAACATTCTCATTCACTAACTAATCTATCTCCCCGTGAAGATCCGGGTTAGAACAGGTCTTAACCAACCCATGCTTGCCGTAAAAGGCGACTATGCTTGTCGTAAGAGCCGACTAGGGGCCTAACAGGATCGGGTGGTCAGGCTCGCTGACTTAGTTGATGCATGTCATCGTATCCCAATTGCGTAGATCGATGCTCATGATTTCAATCACTGGATTCTCTTGTCTCTTGTCCAGACAGGATTATTGACCGACCATCACCAGTACTCGTTGGTCGTCGTCTGATGGTCGGTGACAGTGTAAGGGAGATAACTCCCAATTCTACAGCTTGACTCACGACCACTGTTTCCGTAAGGCCAGTCATTGTGGACACGCAAATGCAGACCACACTTAAAGCCTCTTTCTTCATGGTGATTATGATTGTTAGAAACGGTCCTTGCTGAGCATGTAAGTGCCTATGTTTGTACTTCACCAAACAGATGGATCAACATGAAAACACATTTAATGAAGTGAAATAAAATCCTTTCTTCATCAATATGGAAGAATGAGTTATGTCCCTTTTGAGCATGAGTCTGCTTTTGCTTGTTTGTTTGTTGTTTAACGCCGCACTCATCAATATTCCAGCTGTATGACGGCGGTCTGTAAATAATCGAGTCTGGACTTGACAATTCAGTGATTGACATCATGAGCATCAATCCACGCAATTGGGATACGATGACATGCATCAACCAAGTCAGCGAGCCTGACCACCCGATCCCGTTAGTCGCTTGTTCTTAATTGGTTCTTAATTGAAAGATATCTTATGATTAATTCAAAAATGAAAATTCGCAATTGCAGTGCACGTTAGGTTTTGTCACAACCCTAAATAAATCTAAACACAACCCTAAATAGATCTACAAGTTTAAATTAGCTCAACAATCCCCGTTACAGTAATAAGAACACAATTCAGCTTCAGCTTTTTAACCTTTTACAGCCAAAGTTATTACTGACATATTTTATGGTAAATTAGCGCGTTTATTGCACTGTCTTGGTCGTGTGAACGTGTCTGTGTATTCCTACTACTTGGAGCAGGTTCAGTGTTCAGTGTTCGAATAAGCACCCGCCCGTAGGCCCGTGGTTGGTAGTTCCAAATTTGTGTGGGTTCTTATGACAATTATGTGTGAATTTATTTGTCACGATAAGTTGCAGGGTTTTTTTAAATGAGGGCCTGAAGAGCTTAGACAGGGCCTGCAGCTTCCAAAGTCTCTGGGTTCTGATTGCAGCCCGGCAAGTGTTTTTTGTTTTGTTTTGCTTTTATTTCAAACACTGATTAAGTTGGTGATTCGAAGTGGATGCGGCTGCCAGATATTGAAGCGCACATAAAATATAACAATTGGCACAACCGTTAATTTAACGAACCGCCAAGCAAATCTTTGCACAGGCACAGAAAAGGCCACAGCAAGCAGATTCAGGTATACATGTATATAGCCAAAATATATACATGTATATGATATCAGTTGTCAGTGTTTCTACAGACATACAATCCATTATGCGTGTTCCGAAAACAAACCTGTTAACCTTGTAGCTATTCAAAACTATTTATTTTGTCGCCTGGAGGCGAGATGTGGTGAAATGGGGTTTAACGTCGCGTTCAAGATTATTGCACTTTCTTAGCGACGTGCATGTACGTGTGTGTGGCTGTGTGTACTAGTCCGGACTAATGCCGATTTCATAGTGCTAGAGAACCTGAGATACCATATTCAGTTTAACATGAATACCCCGCTCAGACACAGTATACTGAATCCGCGCCGACCAGTCCTTGTTTTAGCCCCATGATGCCGAGCGCCAGGCAGGGTAACAACAATTACCATCTTTTTAACGTCCCTTTGAATGACGCGTCAAGGGGATCGAATCCCCGACCCTCCGCTCTCCGGGTAGACGCTCTACAACTGGAACTCGGGGGCGGTCCTGCCGACTGCGATGAGTACCCAGAGGGTGTTGCTTCTGATGTCACCCACAGGTTTCCTTGTCAAAGCTCAGGCCTTCATAACATGACTGTAATATTGCTGACAGCAGTGTTAAACAACATACACTCCCTGACTTAAATATACAAGTTGGAGTGAACTGGACGGGTTGATAGGTTTAAGGAAGAAAAGCGACTTAACTCGTTGTTGTGTTTCACTTAGGAATCAACGCCCACATTTTAAAAAGGCCAGATGAAAGGGAAGTTCGAATTGTCGTGACTTGTATATGATTGAATATTGTGATAATAGAAGTCAATATCACTAAGTCACGGGTACACTGCAGAACATTGTTTGTTTTACCTCTTCCGGAACATTTATGTTGTAAATCTGACTTGTTTATCAGCTTTATTTCGATTGAAATTGGTATCCCCCACAGGACAAAGCACATAAACATTAAATACATCCCGGTGACACAAACACAGACATGTGAGAAAGACTTGACCAAGTCTCTTTAGCAATTAAAGTTTATCTGTTTCTGAGAATGTTTTTGTGCCCATGTCGGAGTCGAACCCGGGTCTTCAGCGTGACGAGCGAACACCTTAACCACTAGGCTACCCAACCGCTCCGGTAATGCAAAGAGATACACGCTGGGAATATAACAAACATAATTGGCAAAGTTTTATATGGTAAACGGTCAGATGCGAATAAAACTAAAACAAGCATCATCCAAGAGTTTGCAGAAACGGAACAGAAACAGCACCCTCCCCACCCACGGACGCTCCATCAATTGCCCACTAGAAACATGTATCCTTCAACCCTTTGTACTCTATAAAAAAAGGTGAGAACTGACCTTGACAGTCTTTGATCTCAAAACTTGTCTTTTGCAGTACAGCTACGAAACTGTCTCCAGCTTCTCAGACAAAAACGTTATATGTACTTCCAGTTTAACTACGTCACTTCCCGTTTGAAATAGAACAAGTGCCCACTGAATGCACTGGAACGCACAAACAGGTAGATCAATGCATTCAACTACGGTAATGAATACAGATTAAATATACCCTGGACACTTTCAGCCTCACCTTGAGCTGGCCCCAGAATATTTGCGACGGCAATGTGCTGTTACAAGTCTCTATAGCAAGTCCACTGTTAATACAGTCAGAACCACACTGTTCAACAACAAGTCTTTCCATGTGTGAATGACCTTGACACATGGTAGATAATGGTGACTATGCTTGTCGTAAGAGGCGCCTAACGGGATCGGGTGGACAGACTCGCTGACTTGGTTGATGCATGTTATCGTATCCCAATTGCGTGGATTGATGCTCATGATGTCAATCCGTAGATTGTCTGGTCCAGACTCGATTATTTAAAGACCACCGTCATAAAGCTGGAATATTGCGGCGTTAAACAACAAGCAAACAAACAACATAGCAGATAATGAAACAAGCGTTCATTGAAATTTCTAGTGAATTAAAATGATTCTTATAAATAAGATCTCTGGTGACATTGACTTGATATAGCCAAATACTATTCACAGCGTAGCCATAACATTCCTAAGACTAAGGCCATTTCTACTTGTAGTTGCAAACGTATGATGCCAACGTCTCCAGAATATACTGTCTGCTCTCTACTTTTGAATATGAACTAGTCAATGGTATTTAAATTGACCTAGACATATGCCTTATACATACCATATACGTGCTGATTTAATTATTGATAGTTTATATTGTTTATATTCAATACAAAATGCTTTGATTTTTCAACGACTTAACCAAAATATTGGCTCAGACTTTTTTGTTCAATAATTGAATGTCATGTGACCTTGACCGTCAACAGAGGTCAAACATCCTCTAATCAAATCCGGGCGCCTCCATGGAGATCATGTACAGTTAGTTGTGTCAAATTAAAATACTAACTACTCAAGATATGTACCTCCCCATCCCCCACCCCATTTAAAACATCCTCAGATAAGCTTCCTCGTGCGATCCGGCATCTCCAAGCAAACACGGAACACACAACTGGGCTCCTGATTAAATGAATTCGTCGTGCTTCAGTCTTCTTTCTGTTGTTGACCAGGTCGGGTATTGGGGTATCCTGTTCTGTAATGTATACACCCTGGCCTCATCTGTTAACATTTACGGGCGACCTGTCTCCGTCTCCTGAGTTCTGGTTAAGGAAGAAAGGCCGAGTTAGAGGAAGAGGAAGAGGAACAACATTGAGAGAGCACGTTTCCTACTCTAAAAACTCCATCTATATGAGGTAAACCAGAGGCAATAAATATGGGAGTCCCACATACCTGCGTGTGGTGTTAACAAAAGCGACAAAACCTTTCAATATTCTTATGAAATGTCTGCCACAACTGAGTCGAGTGTACGATTCCGACTTTATCATGAGCATACGTTTGTGAATCACTATCAAATAGTAATGATACCAGGCGTTCGCGAAAAGGTGAGCGTATCCTGTCCCACCGGTGGCACCAGTCATAAAAACACGCAAAGGCAAGTCAATGGTTCACCCGAAAAACTGGGGAATATATGGTACACGTCAAAACAGGGAATTGCATCGCACATAGTTTTGTCACTGATGCGTCAAATTTGGAAATACCCACCACATGTCTTCAATAAAACTTTTTGAAAGCTTACCCGAGGCGTTGAATGTTGTAATCTTCATCAAAGCAAGGGTTGTATGATGCTCGGTTTTTCCTCAAAAGTTTTGAAATGTAGATTCCAGGGGCTGAAGCTGCAGGAATATTGCTCGACATTAAGGGAATACAGTCTTGTGGAGAGTGTTTTGTCACTCTGAATCTCTGAACAGATAAAGCTCTGTTTCTACTTCAGGTGGGTGAATCAGTTGTCGAGAATTGGCTATTTGATGGTTATTGAACGATACTAGATCATCGATATATCTGAAGCTTAACAAGACAAGAAGGGGAGCGCAATAAGTGTCCATGGGGATGCCTGCTGGGGAAGCCAGCTGTAGTAATGCATCTACTTGGCATATTCAAACCTGTGTCAGATTGACCCAAAGGCTTTTTGAATTCTACCAATCGCTAGGCTTCGGTTCACCGTTACCCGGGAGCAGCGACTAGAAATACCACTTTCCCCGCACGATACCAGGGCTTAAACGTTTTCCGGAGAATGCCATAACCCCAGATCAAATGTGGTGTTTAAACGAGATTTAAAAGGACAGTATTGACATTGTGGCCTATAATCACGTAATCATTCTACAACAAGCCAACAAAGATTATTAATGCTTGAATATAACACGCGCCTATATTTTATGTGTAAAGTAAATTTAGATAGGGTGCTAAGTTGTCAATGACTTAAGCTTTGTATAACCTATGTTTATACACCGGGCGTTCATGAATTCACACAAAAATGTGTATACATTGCGCTACTGGCCTCGTGGCCTCCAGCAAGGAGCAGCTAATGTAATTATAGACGTTTTATCAGACGTAATAGTTGCAACTGTAGCTGGTGTACTAGAAGCAGAAGTACCTGCGGTAGCGGTTGTAGTCGGAACAGAAGTAACTGAAGCAGTTGTAGTGGAACAGAAGTAACTGTAGCAGTTGTAGTGGAACAGAAGTAACTGTAGCAGTTGTAGTGGGAACAGAAGTAACTGTAGCAGTTGTAGTGGGAACAGAAGTAACTGTAGCAGTTGTAGTGGGAACAGAAGTAACTGTAGCAGTTGTAGTGGAACAGAAGTAACTGAAGCAGTTGTAGTGGAACAGAAGTAACTGTAGCAGTTGTAGTGGAACAGAAGTAACTGTAGCAGTTGTAGTGGGAACAGAAGTAACTGTAGCCGTTGTAGTGGGAACAGAAGTAACTGTAGCAGTTGTGGGAACAGAACTGTAGCAATTGTAGTGGGAACAGAAGTAACTGTAGCAGTTGTAGTGGAACAGAAGTAACTGAAGCAGTTGTAGTGGGAACAGAAGTAACTGTAGCCGTTGTAGTGGGAACAGAAGTAACTGTAGCCGTTGTAGTGGGAACAGAAGTAACTGAAGCAGTTGTAGTGGAACAGAAGTAACTGTAGCCGTTGTAGTGGGAACAGAAGTAACTGTAGCAGTTGTAGTGGAACAGAAGTAACTGAAGCAGTTGTAGTGGGAACAGAAGTAACTGAAGCCGTTGTAGTGGAAACAGAAGTAAAGCGGCGGTAAAGCCCAACTCACTCACTCACTCATAACTCAGAAGTAGAACTCACTTGACAGGACGATTCACGTTTCTGGACTGCTCTCATGGGCCATTTGGCCACCTGGCGAAGTGCAGTTGACTGACATAACCTACGAAACAATGACAGATAGTACAGAGATAGTACAGAGATAGTACATGGTGCACTTCTGTCAATGCGTGGCCCGCGACTTCGAACAAAGAGCGTATATTTCTACTCCGCGCTCGAAAGAACCTATTGAATATTGTTTTTCACTTATTTCCAAGCAAACTGCTGACATATTTATGCTACGCAAATGCTCAAAATATAATCAGTCTTCCCATTAGAAGCAGTGGGCTTATTGATGGGAACACAATAGCAAACAATGTCATGCACAGGGTAAACTGCGACTGAACACGCTGTGGCAAGGTTGGTGTGACTGTCTGGTGGTAAGAGGCGCATCACCAATCACAGGGGTGTATTTGGGCGAGTTTATTTAGGTGAAGCAGGAACATGTTCTTGTGTGTTCTCGTTCGATTTTGACCAAACACCCAGAATGCATTTGTCGGTGTTACTGGGACGACCACGGTCTTATCTAAGCCTCCGATGACATTCGTGACCAACTCGTGTTATTCCGGGACAAGCCGAATCTTCTTGCAGGTTACGGAAAGGGGCGAGTGGTGACGAATGCCTCCGACGACTCTTGTCATTATCTGCTTGGTGAAATACGTGTGCACATGCAATGTGACGTCACGGCTCATACACGTGCTTCAATGAATGAGGGTTGTAAGAATCCATGGGATCACAGGGACAAATGGGTCCTTAGTATTCCGTGGTTGTCGCTAGAACCGACTAGAGTGGAACGGGCAGCAAAACGCGTTGACTAGGCTGCAGGAATTGGGGATTTGTGAGAATTAGTTTTCAAAGTTCGTTGGCCAGGAGGGTTTGTTAAACAAAACAATGTTGCAAGCCTTCGTCATATTTTACTGGCCACAAACACTTCCGATAATATACGACATGAAAACAAAATGGTAGCAGAACATTAAATGACGCCTTAACTGACGTGATGATTCGTAGAATATCTATTGACTACAGTTTTCGACTAGACAGGCAGGTCAGCTTTACGGAAATTAGGGCTAGGACGGGTAACTCGGGTACTCGGGTCGGGTGGGTACTGAGTAGGACCCATGTACCCACAGGACTACCAGGACTCATGGTTAGTCACGTGATATATTGTTTAATGACAAAAAGTATCTAAAACTCTATGTTTAAACTACAAGTCACTAATGTTCGCAGTTCTTCCTGACTACTACGCCCATTCTTTCTGACTTTTACATGTTTGAATAAAAATAAAATTTTCAGTCAACTTCAGTGTATTCACCAGATCGTTTCATACATGTATCTAAACACATTTTACCAGAGCTACGGTCAAACTTTTCCCAATCGGACAGTTTGTACGTATCTCTTGCGACCTACAGCGGGTACCCGGGTAGGGTCGGGTTATAGGGGGTGGGTACCCGGGTAGTAAATTTAGACTCGTCCCAGTCCTAACGGAAATGTTACTAGCCCCAATTACTGGCATTTGGCTAGAGAGCAAGAAGCTACTTTGAGCACTGCTTGGCTGATTGCATGTCTTCGTGGATCATGGATCATGGATCATGGATCGTGTGTTCAGCCACTGGTTTGTCTGGTCCAGATTCAATTATTTACAGACAGTCGTGATATGGCTGGTTTGTTGTTAACTGCTGCGTTAAACAACATTCACTTGCTCACTTACTGTGCTGCGAAAAGTGTTCAATAAACATTATTCTGTTGGAAAGCAGTTGCGTGTGATTGTGTAGATGACTCCTTTATTCTTCATTTATCAGAATATACAATTCAAATCAAACAAAATACATATGATAATAATCATTTGTAGTTCATCACTGATAGTGTTACTATAAGCTGTACAGGAACAGGCCCCGTACACAAAACGATCTTAGCGCTAAGGCGATCGTAACTACCAGGCTCCAACATAGACTCTGGATAGTCTTAAGATGGCTTAGATTTTCATGCATTAAGTCCTATTCAACTTACACTAAGTATACCTACTCAATACGCTCTCATCGTCAGGTTATCGGTTTTCCTTTTTCGGTTTTTTAATTCGCGTCTATAAAAATGCTATCCAAAGTCTCCTTAGGGATCTAAAATCGGGATTATCCGGGATTTAACCCTAATCACTAAGACTTAAGCGAGTTTTCCCCTGATAAGTGAGTAAAAGTAAACACAGTGATACTTCGCTACTCCCGATCCCGTTAGCCCGGAAACGCCGCCTACAGACGCTTACAGACGTAATTATTTACTGGTACGTGTAGAGATAATTCACGTGACAACGCTACGGTTCATTCACGTCATGCCGACAATAATTATTATGGAATACTACAAGGGACATTGTCGCATTATCGCCCTTGCCAAAACACGAAAAAAGTGTCAATCGGTCAAAAGTAAACATTTTTGGGTGGCATTTTATGTCGACTTAACTTGAATGTGATGTCATGGCGGTGGAGGCTAATTGCTGTAATGCAGGATTAATGACGATTACCGGGCGGATTAAATTGACGTCCCTTTAAAAGACACAGGAGGTACAGACAGTGTTACACGTATGTTTTAGGGATATTTTTATTAAAGTTTTTACACGTAACTTTACATAATAAGGGCAAACATGAATGCACATAGATAAATATAAACAAACATACATCATAATTATTTATTTACGTCTTCAAACTACTTTCCAATTAATTCAACTTTGCGCATGCGTATATCACATCTACAGTGAGACGGGAATAAGTCGTACAGCTGATGTTTAGGAGTGAGGGAGCTAAATCTGGTAATTCCGCAAGGGAGATCACTCTTGTTTTATATGATTTTCAAGTGACGGTTTTGTGTCCAGTTATGTAGCTTTTTGAGTACAATTTACTGATTAATAACAGTAAGTCAAACCAATTAAAACACTGAGTGAACGCTAATATAGCCAATGTTTCTGTAGAAAACTGTGAACTGAGGCTGACAAAAAATACCGCATGCCGATGTGAATCTGAATACACTAGGTTTTTAATTTGTTTAGTAGTAGTAGTAGTAGTAGTAGTAGTACTAGTAGTAGTGGTGGTGGTGGTTTTTGTTTGTTTGTATGTTGTTTAACTCCGCACTCAGCAATATTCCAGCTATATGACGGCGGTCTGTAAATAATCGAGTCTGGACCAGACAATCCAGTGATTGACGTCATGAGCATCGACCCACGCAATTGGAATATTGCTAAAAGCGGCGTAAAACCATACTCACTCACTTACTCGCACATCTACATTTCATGTCAGTATTGAAGCAGTTAAGCTGGTCTTCCCAATACTCACCATTTTAATACGATTTCTGTTCCGCATTCACGAACACGTTCAACAACATATCCATAAAAGGCTCGAGCTATGCGCCCGGGTCACCATAATCGAACAAGGTTATTAAGAAGGAAGTACATGCTACCCTTTAGCTAAAACACGAATATAACACGTCACTTTATTGCTCCCTCTGGTAATGGGTTAGACCAACTGTGACCCACACCTCAACAACAGGAGAGTTGTTGCATTTGAATGCCGGGTTTACGCAGGCTGTTGAAATACTTGAGCTACCGCCCTCCCATAGCATACCACGTGGCCGGGGGTCGATCATCTGTGACGTCACGTGACCAGTTCTGAAATCTACATCTATCTGAAACGGGTACACTGCACACTTCGTCAAACACCTGTCATTCACCCGAATAGGTAAGTAATCGTATTTCAGCTTCTGTTTTACGCTATCGGCTATCGTTATCATCTGATGTTCGTTTTGGGAACTGTAGCTGTAGAGGTCTCAGGACCATACAGAAATATATTGATTGATAAATGCATTCTTTCCTACAAGCAACTACCGTGAGTCTGGAGCGGTCATAACACCGCGTCTCCATAGTGTCTATATGTCTGACCGTAGACTCAATGTACACGGCAATGGAAAACCGGTTCTGTCAATTATTCATACCACACGCTCCTGCATACAGCGGTGTCCATGTCTTTTCTACTTCTAGACAGTATCATATGTGATATATTGCACCTTATATCGAGGAACATTGGTAGCGAAATGGGCGAGGGGTGCATATATATTTCACTGGAGGAGTGGGGTTTAGTTGACATCGAATTCGGGGTCAGATGGATGACATGACTCCGACAGTTGTTTTCTAACCAAAGGCATCATATATCAAACACAGAATTATGCATGAATGCCCCAGCCATAGGTTTGGGGTGCGACTAGCTTGAACGGGTCTCACTAAGCCAGATAAGCAGGTTTCGCGTATTATACTGAAATGGGGAGTGCTGTTGATCATTCAAGCTTGAAGCTTAGACAGCAAGTTGCTTTCACCATATCGACCGCCACAATAGACTGAACAGGACTCGAGGTGTAATAGGCCCAGGGGCTGGCTTTATAAGATGATTGTACAGAGAATGCATTGAACATTAAGCAATTTTACCTCGTCTTCGGCTGTTGCGTCACTGTGGGTTAAAGTCAAAACGCATCGAACCATACATCCAGAACGCTTAGGGGGTGGGGGATGGGGAGGGCGGGGAACCTTCAAACCCAAAACAGCCCGTGCTGTCAATTTCGACAGTTCTGTGTCCAGCAGTCTAGCCCGGTATCGAAATCCGAGGGTGTTGTGGTTGTTGTGGATGGAAGCAGTAGATGCTGTCCTCAAGGATGTGGAGACAGCTGGTTTCTTTGACACCGTGGCGAATAATAATGAACGTTCAGTCAACAGATGTGACGAATCAAATTTTATTGTTATTGTGGCATATACCGTTTCTGTGAAGTCACATGACCATTCCTTTGAAATATTGTCTGCTATTAAATGTGTGTGTGTATTATATATATATGTCTTATGTACCTATATATAAGTATGTGTGTGTGTGCGCGTATGCGTATGCGTGTGCGTGTGTATGTATGTAAACTTTAAAGGTCGGTTTAGGCAAACAAGACGTTTAACATTGATACCTTGACACTCATCACCAGGGCAGAATGTGTCCCCGGTCGATGTTGAACGACCTTTGTGGACATCCGATCCATTTTAACGTCTTTCACATGTTATTTCTCATACCACGCAAGCCTCACTGCTTGTAGATGTAGTGAGTATGGCTTTACGCCGCGTTTAGCAATATTCCAGCACTATCACGGCGGGGGACACCAGAGATGTACTTCACACATTGTACCCATTGATATCATGAGCAACAACCCGCTCCGTCGGGATACGATGACTCGCGATCAGTCAAATAAATCACCGAGCCATCCAAACTGGTCATCGCGAACGACCAGAAAAAGGGACCTGTTCTAACCCCGGTCCTCCGGGGTAGCTTGGTTAATGACCCTACGCGATATATTCATGGAATAGGCTTACCAAGTGACAGTGTTTTATTCAGTATGATGTTCTTCCTCCAATATTGTATTAGAGCGATGAGTCAGAGTTCTTATTATCCCAAGTTATACCCCTGTCAGCCTCGCTCTATTTCTACTGCGTCAACCAAGGTGCATGGGACGCACTTACGCTGTAAAGAGACTAGCGCGACGGAGCTTGTCTAGAAATACACCAGATTATGTCAAGGGGAATCCTGCCCTCTGATAAACCACAGGCCGTCGTGTAAGAGATTAGGATTCGATATTAAGACACGTTTTTTCTTTATTTCTGACATGAACAGGAAGGTCAAGGACATCTTTTCCTAATACGTTTCTGTGTTATGATTGGCTGAAACGTGCTTGCTTTTTTTTGTCCACAAGACCAGAATTGTTCTCGACAGAACTCACTTTCTTCATCCATTGAAAGTGACGTGATTGACGGATAACGTTACATCATGGGTCACATAGCTCAACTGTCGTCTTACGAAGTAGCGCACAAAGGACTGAAGAAGCATACATTTCTAAACATAATCAAAACTGTAGTTCTCAAGAATAAATGGTACATTTTGAACGCCTTCAAGCACTACACGCGTATAGCATGAGATATGGGATAGCTTGTGCTAAAAGACTGATAAGACTGGAAAATTGCGAATACGGCGTGTAACGATTATCATTTTTTTTGGTTTGGTTTGTTGTTTAACGCCGCAATCAGCAATATTACAGGATCGGGTGGTCAGGCTCGCTGACGTGGTTGATGTATGTCATCTATCCCAATGGCGTGGATCGATGCTCATGATGTCAATGACTGGATTGTCTGGTCCAGACATTACTTTTCACAGACTGGAATATTGCTGAGTACAGCGTTCATCAACAAACAAACAAAACTTAGCAGAACTTAATGTTATAGGAAGCTAGCTATCGCCTGTGACTGAAATACGATTCTGACGTCATAGCGAGTGGGTTGATTGAGTGACGAGTTTGTTCAGCATTCTTTCCTGAGGAAAACATTTTCCAGCACTGAGAAGTAATATAATAGAACTGCCTGACGCATCTCTCTAAGGCAAAACAAATGTTTCTACACACCCAAATATGGCAGGTGTCAAATTAAATACGACGTCAGTAAAGGCGTGGAAACCTATAACCAGGAAGATGTAGGTTTTATCAACGTTTACATTCTTTTGAAAGATTTTGATACACACTCAGTGTGTTTACTTTTAATGTTGCTTCTAAATATGGCACAAAGGTGGTGTTGGGTGATATGGGGTTTAACGTCGCGTACAAGATTATAGCACGAATATAGCGACGTGCTTGCACGTGTGTGTGTGTGTGTGTGTGTGTCTGCTTGTACTAGTCCGGACTAATGCCGAGTCTATAGCGCTAGCCCACTGAGATACCATGCCACTGTTGAACACGTATACCCCACTCAGACATAGTATACTGACTCCGACCCGACCAGTCCTTGTTTTAACCCCTTAACAACAGGGTAACAACAAGTACCATATTTTAACATCTTTTGGTATGGTTGGTTGGTTTGTTGTTTAACCGCACTCAGCAATATACCAGCTATATGACGGCGGTCTGCAAATAATCGAGTCTGGACCAGACAATCCAGTGATTAATATCATGAGCATCGATCCACGCAAATGGGATCGATGACATGCATCAAACATGTCAGCTCTTTTGGTATGACACCGCCGGGAATCGAACTCGTGAACTCCCGCACTCCGGGCAGACGCTCTACCCTGGGACCACGGAACCGGAGAACAGAATGCCAGTTGTAGAGATTCATAGTTTCCGAAATATCATATATAAGGAATACATATTTTTGTGTATAATATATATTGTTATTCCTAATATTGATATATATCGTACAGAAGCACACAAGGGTAATACTCTTCATCATATAATATTATTCCTAAAATATATTAATCCGATTCGATGTTTAAGACGTAATTTCGCTGAATGAAGTGACTGTTGGAAACCGCGTATGAATACAGTGTTTGAGTAAATCGCCTCGTTTGTCAAATAGTGCCAAATGATTAGCAGAATCAAATTATTTACAGGATCACCCAAACATAGGGAAACCCCAATTTGTTATTGGGAGCGTTGGTCAATATAAATCTGCCATCCCATTTCTCTGCCAATATGAAGTCCTTTGCTTTTGGATAAATAGATACTTTAACAAAAGAATCACAATGAAAGTGAATTACTGTGAATTACAGCACAGAAAAGTTCATCCTTAAACAAGCAATAAAGGGTTTACTTATTAATACAAGCATTATAAATGACACAGTTAAGTTGTTTTTTCAAGGAGATGCACGTCATGATCACAGTTTCACTTCGACTTAGCAGGACAATGGTGTACATGCTTTGTTATTTGGGACAACAAAATATGTTCGAGACAAAAACAATTCGACACAACAGAATTCGACATAGAGTTCGACGCTATGCAGTGTTCAACTGTATAGAGAAGGAGAGTATCACAACAGAATATTATATTTATCTTGTCAACACGTTACATCCGTCTGTTGGGGACAAGGGCTCTATACACGCAGATAGTTCATACAACGGATGGAATGTTCGAGCTTGTTACCAGCCAGTACCCCACGCTGAGCGTATTCAAACAAGATTATGAATAATCATATTCATCTCGCATATTCTGTGTTGATATGTCATAAATGCTCCTTTGAAGAGTCCTGTTTCACAAAGGTCTATTTATATGGGCCCGGACAAGGAATTCACATACTTAACAATAATAGGGGATTTCGAAGGTAACAGACCCTGACGATGTGGACATGGTCTTGTTGCTAAATGTATTCATACTGCTCGTGCATGCTTGTGTTTTCTTGTGTTTGTTTTAACCAACCAGCTACTCCGTGTTATCTCAAGCCGACTATCTGGGAAATTGGGTAGTCAATCTTGGCTAACTGCATGTGGTGGAGTCGGAATGACATTGATCGTTGTCTGGTTATCTGCCTGGATGAGATTCAAAGTCCTCCGTGACATAAGCTGCCGAGCACAAGACAGTCTCTACCCATGATTGATGGTGTCTAGATATGAAACAACCCAGAAATGGTTATTCGCTGGTGATGTGTTTGATGCGGGTATCATGGTTGTGTTGTGGACCCTAAGTTTGCGGTGTGTCCGCGACTGTTTTTAGGCTAGTCACGTTTTCATAACGCTTGTGATATTTTTGTTGATCCAATTTTTAAGTGTGTACTTTCTTTTGACCGGTAGTTTATCTGTGATGCTGCGGACTGCGGCATTAAACAACATTCACTCACACATTTATTTCGAAGTTACGTCCCTTGTGCAGTGTGCACCCAGATGCACTGGTGGTATGTTG